GTTTGTGTCTATGAATCTTTGATTTATTCTGATCTGTGTTTATACAAATCCTTCCTGTGTGTGTTCGCGCCATAGCCCTCATGGTGGGATATCCGAATGCTTCATCCACGTCAGAGAAACATGGAACAAGGCGTTTAACGTGGTCAGAGGGTCACTTCTTGCCTGTCACCCTGTGACCTTTCCTGCCGCTTCCCATTTGCTAATCTTTCTCTTTGCCCCCCAGCAAGGCTTGGAAAGGAAATACTTTACTTCTTAGTGTGGTTTACTTCATTTCAGAGCTCTGCCTTAGCTGAGAAGAAGGGGGTGCAGCTGCTAGAGCCAAGCCACAATGGTGCTCCCCAGTGTGGGCAAGTGCCCATCTAACCCACACTGTGGAGCACCCATGGGACAACGCCATTGTCTGACCACAGCACCCATCAGACCTTCTCCATTGTCCCCACGCAGGGACCTGGCAGCGGTGCCAGTGCAGTGACCCAGCCACACTGTCCCCTGTGCTATTGGGTGGCCAGAAACCGTCTCCCCTGGCTCATGCCCAGAGCCTGTACGGTGCCTTCTTCCTACGTCTTGGATCCTACTCACTATGCACGGGATGCTGTAGGGTGGATCTGCCCTTTAAATCCTGAACCAACGAACATACCAGCATGCCTCTTTTATAACACCGAGCTCTTCACAGCCTCTTTCCTCCCCTTCGAAGAGGGAACTGGGGAGTAACTCCCTGTTGAGGCAGCACTCAGTGTCTTGCAGAAGTAACACTCAGCAGAGATGGGCACTGGAGGCTGAGCGTTGTGTCTGGAAGGCACGGGACCATGTCTACCCTCCACTCTATTGCTCTTTTTCTTCCCTCCTCACAAAGTTAACAGTCATTAGGGAGGGTCTGCCCAGAGGCCAGAAGGTAGTTCAACTTGTTTCTTCCCAGCATCCCAATTTTCCGTACAACCCTTGCCCATTCCCTGTCTGTGAGGGTATTGTTCTCCAAGTGCAATATCATCATCTTTACTTAGGATGGTGGTATTGTACCAGCATCCTAAGTGGTCTGAGGGTGAGGTGCGAGGGAGGGCTCGGGTATTTCTGTAGTGGGTGGGAAGGAACACCAGCGTATGGCGGGCAGCATCCCTCTCCCCAGGGCTGAGCATGCCCTACACAGGACAAGTGGCTAAATACCCCAAGCAGGCCTGTGGGGTGGTGGAGGCAGACACCCCACCATGCCGGAGAGGGAAGGGGAGGAAAAGCCCAGTCTTTCCCCCCAGCTGCCCAACATAGGGCCAGAGGAGCACAAGCACTGTGATTTCTCACCAGGCTTCCCCAAGCACATCCCAGGACCTCTAATGGAGATTTACATCTCTGATTTAATTCAGCTGAGTTAAACCAATATGATTAAAAATTCTTGTTAAATGTCAGGCTGATTTGTAGGAACTGAGATTAGCTGGCCACGTGGCAACTTAGTGGGAAACCAACAGCTGAGTACGTACATTTGAGTGTCAGTCATTTTATAGTGCATCCTTATGAGCAGTAGGGCAGGAAGGAGAGAAACCAACCTCACCCACAGAGAAGAGTAGTAGTTTAACTCGCTGAGAAACATGTTTCCAGTGCAGGATAAGGTGATCAGTGCCAGATGAATTTTATAGTGCAAGCTCTGTGTCCACTGGGAATAGACTGTATCAAAATAAACATGTGCAACCTTTCTTCTGGAGAGTCCCTGCAGCGAGCTGGCACTCTGCCTGAATTACTTCTTTCCCAAGCAACTATTCATTGTATGAATGAATGTGGGGGGGATGTTTGTGCTATAATTCTCCATCTGATAACTAAGTTGAGGGTACACGGTTAACAGTTTTAGCCAGTCTTTTGTTTCCAAAATGCCACTCTTCCCTGCTTGTGGGTATGCGTCTTTCTGTGTGTCTGTCTGAGTACCATCGTGATGGGAGTACGTGAGCTTTTCCTCCTTATTCCTGGTGGTTCCCATCTTTTTGAGTGGTAGCTTCTTCACTCCTTGCTGATAATGATGATATTGATGAAGCTCTGAATGTAACTGTCAGTGTTAAATACTCCATTGGCAGGAGTTACATCATGTTGTTGTTACCCGTAGGTTTCCAAATTCTCTTTGTTAGCATGAAAGGATTGTTCAAATTTTGAGAAATCCTTGTGCTACTTGTTTTTTATGTCATCTCTTTGCAGGGGAACCGTGGCACAGAGCCATGGCAATTACTGCCTGCCTCTGTCATTGCAATGAGCCAGAATTGCCTCCTAAGCCAGGCACTGATGGGGATGAAAGAGCAGATTTCCAGTTTGCTATTTGGGACCCTCCCAGCTGAAGGACTGGGAGGATAATGTAAAGCAAACAGGTTGCGCTAAGCATACCTAAGCTCCATGCCATGGGTTTCTCCTCCAGGTGTAAGTCAGCATCTGGCGTGGCTCAGGAGAGGGATGGCAGTACCTGTTCGCCATAGTTGTATACTCCGCTGTATCTATTTTATTGAGAACAGTTTTAATTTCATATGGTACATATGTACTGGCAAACGCTGTTAGCAATGCTTACGATGCTCTAGAGATTTTGCTGTGTGAGCAAACAGAAGCAAAATGACAATTAGATATTGTCTAACACGAGCAACAACACAGCAGGTCCAGAATTTCATGTCAGTCAGTGAGAAACCTTGTTTACTGGAAGCTGGCCATGAATTGCTTTACAGATCTAGCCAAATCCTTGGCAGAACAGACCAGTTAGACCTGTTGCTCTCTCGTAAGGGTAGAGGCTTCCCAGCAGTGTAATTCCTTGACGGTTTATAGAGAACAGCTGTAGGAAGCTCCTTTCCATTAGGTGTGTTTTGCCTCTCAAAAACAGCTGGAGCTGAGCAGCACTGATGCTGGCTGCCCCATCCACTCCCAGCCTTCCTCAGAGCCACCCAAGAGCTCTCGTCCCCATATTTCTGCTTTCTACTGGGAATCTGTTACAGCCGGAGGAAGCCTTGGTGCAGTAGAGGAAGATCTTCAGGGATTCAGAGAAAGCAACTTCTTCTGCTGACACTGCCCTATTTCTCTTGTCCTATCCTAGATTCAACAAGGGTGCACACAACAGAGCATTTTGAGCAAAGGTCTAGCAAAGAAAGACAGCAAAATCCTAAATGCTAACCCTTGCCATATTACTGATGGCTTCTTTATTCTCAAATAACATGGTTAAACATTTCAGTTGCGATGTGAGCAAACAACAATAAAAAACACTGAATTTTCTCACTAGATTTTAGCCTGAATTATTTGAAAACACACTTGTTGGACTAGTAGCCTGATTCTGGGACTGGGTGAATAACCACCTAAAGTATTTGTAAAATACTGGTAAATAAAATTTAACTGGGTATATAAATTTTCCTAGTCTAAAATATGGATTGTGATATGGCTGACTTGGCTGTTTTGCAAGCAGAAAAGCCAGTCCCCTGGCCTTCGTATTTCCTATTTATGCTCCTTCATCAATAAGCTGAATGCCATGAAGCAGAAGCTTTACCCTCCAATCAGTTACCCGTGGCTTTAATTCCTCATTACTCTTATATTTGATAAAAAATTACAGGGTAGTTTCATGCTCTTAGCTAACTGTTGAGTAATGAGCAGGTGGAATATTGCTGTAAGAGAACTAGTAGCAGGAGGAGGGAATTTATCCACTGTTTTTACTATCAATAAGTTTTCACTCCTGTTTTTTCATAAAATGTTCTTTAAACAGGCAAATTCCTGTGTGACTCATATGTGGAAAATACCATGGGCTTAAATAATGCATAGCAATTAACCTCCCTCCTCTCCCCCTCCAATTTTATTCATGTCTTACACGTTGAGGACTCATTAAATGAGAAACACTGATTTTTTAAAACAAGTGTTATCATTGCCTGTCATTACACCGCCGCTTTGAAAACAACACTTTGACAATATCCAGGGTTTGTAGCGGCATTGTGCTTCCAGTTCGGAAAATATTTGTGTGGGATGCAGCAGCACGCAGCTTTTGTGCCTGACACGGGTGCGAGGTGCTGTGAGGGGCTGCAGCAGCACAGGTTATGTCTCAAGCATCGCTTTCTCGTAGGCCACGGAGCAAAGGAGGGTGGGCAGTGAGCTGGCGACAAGTGTTTCTGAGGATCTCAGCCTTCAGCTGGGCTGCTCTTGTGTTTTTCCCTTTGCCTTGCCTATGCAAATTTGCTTAATTTACCCAATTAATCCCCTTTTACTCTGCGGCTTTATGAACACATCTTGTGCTCAGAGTTCTTTCTCCTTACAGCTCAGACTGCCAGAGCAATTGGACTATAAACCTGATGGCAGGTCACAACGTTTTGGTGAAGATTAGCAAAAAGAGTGACGGGGATGGCACGGTCCCCATGCTCGGTGCTGGCACCACCAGGCAGGCGGTCTGTCGGCCACTGCTGGCTGCGTGAGGGTTTTTTCACAGTGCAGCTTAGGCAGCGGGATTTATGAGGACACTTTAAATTTGGGTTGTAATTCAGTACAGTTACGACCGTCTCTTTGGACTTCAGGCCAGGGCCCACGGAGGAGGATGAAGAGCCTCCCAGTAGGAAGCTCCACCCGAGGAGTCAGAGGCATTAGTGATGCCGGCTCTTGCACTGGGGATGGTTTTTGGGGGAACGTGGGGGCACTGAAAACGCCTTTTCAACTTGGGCAGACCCCAGCCTGCAAGTTTGCAGAAAGTAGCCTCCACACCAAAAAATCCCCCGAGAAGTGACTGGTTTTATACTGTGCTGGTACACCACATTATGCCTGCGAGCCTTGATCCCTGGCTGGAGCCCCTAAGGCTAGCGTGACGCTCAGGAATAACATTATCCATAATGGATGTTTCCTAAAATCAAGGACTGTGGCATAAAGCACTGCTGACACATTTATCTGACCTGGATATCATCACTCTGTTATTAAAATGAAATAGAGCGACTCTGAGATTAATCTGCAAGTAGAGCTAACAAAATGACATTTCATAATGATTCTCGCATTCCTTCAACAGAAAAAACTGCTTAGACAATCTAATGGATGAAGATGAGAAAGACAGGGCAAAGAGGTGAGCACTTTTTCTTTTATAACTCTCTGTTTAACTTGTGATGGGCTTGGTACTGTTTGTTGCTGTAGAAGCTGTTCTGTCCATAATCAATTAATCAAAGAGAGAGAGAGTAAAATACAGCCAAACACAACTTGAAAACCTGCCATCTCACAGATTCCTATGCTTGGCTACCCTGTAAGAAGAAAATAACGTAGCAATGTTTCCTGTGGAAAATGTCAAAGAAGCCAAGGCATTGATTGTTTTCTTCACATTACTGCAGAACACGAGAACTGAAGAACCAACAACGTACTCCTGCCGCTATAGTACATCATCCAAGCTTCCCGAGTACATAAAAATGTGGGGTTTTTTACAAAAAACATTTTGCAAAAGAAAAAGAACTAAAAAAGCGGGGGGTTTTCCCTGTTATGATGGTCATTTATTCAGCAATGCCTATCTCACAGTAATGAAAACACCCAGAACTTGCCTTCAGAGCAGAGAAAGATGACAAAAAGTGCTGTGACAGCCCTAAACTGGCACAAACCTTTATTCACATACATTCTGCGCTCCATCATCAAGTCCTGGTTGGCGGGAAATTGTTGTGAACACTTTGTGGGGAGGGGAAGGGTGTGTCTGAAGGCAGAAGACCCTTGGCAATAAAACTCTTAATAGCTGTCAGATCTGACTGGCACCTGCAGAAAAGCTGTTTGGAAGCATTTGAAGGTTTTTTTTCTGGACGCGCCATCAATACCGCAGCCCGCAGTTTAATTGCTTTAGAGGGAGCCGTGGGTTGCCTGCATTTTTCCCCTTGGTTCCCTCTAATGAGAGTATTTCCAGTCCAGGCACAACTAGTTGATCCAGTTTCATCTGTTTTGATTCCTTCTCCGCTTCTTTCCTCCCCGCAGCTTTTTTCCACCAATATAGGTCAGCACGGGCTGCAACCGAGCTCAACCGTTCCCCTCCGCTCCTTCCTCTTAACGTGTGCATGCTCAGGCTGCAGAAGGCCTGCCTTTGATACCGGGAGCAAAGCGCTGACCTAACCGCCTCCGTTAGGCCTGCGAGGGGTGATCCGCTGAGGCCAGGGGCCCGCCAGCCCCCGGAGCCGCCCTGGTGCTGCTCCTCACGGGGGGCTTCATGCCCGGGAGAGGGCCGACACGGGGTACGGCTCTGCCTGCGGCTCTGCCCAACCACCTGCAGCTGGGGCCCGGGGAGGAGGTGGATTTGGGGAAGGGATGCCTCCCGCCGCCACGCCGCGTCGGAAAGAGACGCCTTTTCGGAGAGGGGGTGGCAGAGCGGGAGGTGTCACGTTCCCCAGAGACCCGGGGTCGGGGAAGGGGGCAGCCAGGGAAGGGAGCCCACCTTGCGTCGCCACTTCACACGCTTACGGCCTGATTATCTTCAAGATATTTGTGTGCTAATTGTTTTTAAAAAAAATGCATTAAATGAATCCATATAAGACAAAAAAAGGATAACGCGTATCCTCGCTACCAGAGATTGTCATCACCATCCGGTATGGTTTTCATGCTATTTGTTCCTGGAGGGAAATTTTTCATACCCTGGGGCAGGCCTCTATCAAGGTGGATAAAAAAATGGTAACTTTGAAATGAAAAAAGGAAATTGCTTCTTTAAATTGTAATTTGAGTACATTTAGAAATGTACGTTTTAGAAATAAATCTAAATTATCTAAATTTGAAATTAAGTTTGAAATCACGAGAGGCTTCATGAAGGTCTAAAGTTACGACAATATACTAAAACCATTCAGATTCATTTAAAAGCTACAGGTTTTCTTCCAAAGCTTTAAAGAGAGTCAAACTTGGGAGAAACCATTGGCTGAACATTTTGCTGTTGTGTGTTGCAAACTGAGGACTCTCATCTGTCCCATGCCGCAGGGAAAACACTTTCTTTGTTTTCTTCTACTTGGTATAAGGATGGGTCCCTTAGTGCCGAGAACCATGAGAGGGGGTGAAAAAGCCAAGAAAATTGTTCTCTTCTTTCATTTTCTGAGTAAAAAGTAGGTGAGACTGGAACTTTCTGGATCTACTCTTTGGGGATGGACCCAAGCCAGGAGCTGGGTTTCTCTAAGTTGGAAGTGTGACTAACGCACATGCACCATTTACTGTCTGCTGCAATTTATTAGGCACGTACAGGTTGTATTACACAGTCATCCCACCCGTGCTGAGAAGAAGGTCCATCCTCTCCCAAGGAGAGGCACCTGCACTCCCACCCCTGGGCCAAGTGTTTAGTATTTGGCCAAGATGCATAGCTCTTCCTTCACGACACTGATTATTTTGAGCATCCTCTGACTCCCTAAGGCACTACTTCACTCCAAAGACCCGAGGACTAAAATGTGGATATGATGGCACTACACTTGGGAGCATCGAAGACCTCTTTGAGGTCTACTGATCTTCTGGAGATCAGAAACCATCATTTCATTTTCAGTTCTTTGATGCTAGATGAGGCTTACTTTGTTTTATAGATTTATTAATTTTAAAGAAAAAGTGTGCTTTGTGCACTTTTTTCTCTATCTGCTTTTCTTTTAGTTTGCTTTAATAGTAAATTATTTTAAAATAATTTTTTTGCAATTCAGTTGAATTCCAAATTCCAGCCAAAACCAGCTTGAAGTGAACCATAAGTAAGCGCTTAATAAAGATGGACTATCACCTGCCATTTTCCACTCCAATAAAAAGTAAATTTAAGAATCTGATTAGAGGTATGTGGTATCGTTACTTGCTTTGATGCATGTATAACGTATCCCACCTGGACAGCAAAAAGAAATATGAAATTTAGTGTAAAGCCACATTTAATTGTCAGGCAGCATGGTGTAATTGTTACTAGTCAGCAAGTATCAGTCTGTCTTTAAGACAACAAGCAGCAAATATGTAAGAGAATAAAAATGGTTATTTAGAACACATTTTAAATGGGTGATTTTGATCATTCTGAATTCAAGCTGTCCTGTATTGCCTTTAGCTGTATTCACTAAAAATCCAGATTTTATTCATATTGCATGTCCTTCTTCCCCTTGGATATGCTGTATTTTTTTTTGGAGTAGCGAGGAGGGAGGAGAACTGGGACAAATAGTGTGGAATTAAGACAGAGACTGTTTTGGCTTACTGTAAATGATATGCCCTAGCAGTGAAGTAAGCAAGGCCAGGGAATAATCTTCCAAGGGAAGTGATGAAAATTGCATTAAGACATTTACAACTGGACTGAGCAAAGCATTAAGATGATGCAGGGATAGTTTAGATGACCTAATTGGGGGGGGGGCGGTGTTCTCATCTCTTTCCTTTTTAAGAATTTACTGTGATCATCGATTCAGATCTTGGTAGAGTTATTTCCACTAGAGGAGTTTTTATGTTTCCTCTGTGAATAAAATGTCAAGTGTTAAAAATAGATACTTTATATTTCTGTCAAGGCATCTTTATTTTTTTGGAAAAAGCAACACTTTCCCTATAGACGGTTGGTGTTTTATTTTATTTTCAGGGGGATCAAGACCCTTTAAGCTTAAAATGAACTGAGGATTGAATTATGAGGAAGTAAAATGTTGATGTTCTTAACGTCCCCTTGAATTGTACAGAAAAAGGATAAGGCTGGAGCTTTTCACATCTTGTTCTGACAGCCTTTTGCACTGTAATAAGAACAGGCTGAAGTCAGCCAGGCAGTATCCACCCAATCTCTTGTGTTCAAAGCTGTAAAATAATCAAGTGTTGGCTTCTATCCAGTGTATCTCCAAGTGTGTTCAGGGTTGAGAGCAAGACAAACAAAAATTACCCCTCTGTCAGTAGTAACATCCAGAAGCCTCTGCAGTGATTTCTCTGCTGAAAATGTTTATTGCCATCCTGGTCCTTGGGGGGGATGTAGATGCTGGGCTAAGTTTTGCTCTGATTTTCAGCAGTGTGTATCCAGAGCTGCTTATGAGGTACAGCAGAGTTAGCTAGGACTGAGAAACTCAGAGTGAGAACCGGCCTCTTGACTTTTCTTTCCTGTCTACATGGAACCAGATTTTTAGATCTTTATGTAATTAACAAGGCAAATCTTGTCTGCTTGAGGACCTTTCAGAAGACCAGACAAACGTTCTGGGTTATATTTATTTATATTTTCACATGGCTACAGAAGCCCGGGTGACACCCTCCAAGTAGAATGATTGTCACATTCATGGGAACAATTCAGAAACACTTGCTTGTGTATAGGTTGATACATAATTTAAAAAAAAATAAAGTGCACATGCTGAAAAGATTATCAACAGCCTTAATGACAGTATTATGATGGTGCCAAAACACCCGAAATGGAATCAGGTCCTTTCTTCCTATGAGCTCTTCAAATACAGCAGCAGAAGCAGGCTCTCTCTGAGGAGTCTGCAAGCTAAACAGACAAGACTGGCAGAGTCCCCATTTTATGCCTAAAGAGTCGGGGCACCGTAACCTTAAGCGATTTGCCCAGTGGCACGCAGAGATTAGGGGCAAGCAGGGGACCCCTGCTCGCACTTCTGAGACCCCAGGTCTGGGAACACATCCCAGCCTCAGACCCGGTCCATGGTGGGAAGAGACGTGCTGATGCCCTCCCTCCTGCTTGCCCTTGTCACCTTGGAAGGGAGACTGAACTAGGTGGCATATGAACTAGATGGGAGCTGCAGCAACCTCTGCTCAGGTCCCTGATCTTAATGACTGGAAGACAACAGCCTGATTCCTCTCTGTAAGCCAGCTTGGAGGTAGCCAGAGGACCTGTGACCAAAGCGGGCAGGTCCCTCTAGGTCCACCCAACTGCAGTGCAATGGCTGAGCTGCAGGACCAGGGTCCCTCTCTCCTGCTAAGACTGCACAGATGGATACGTCCCATAGTTTTACCAATCCCCACTCTTCTCCTTTATGGACGGTTTTACTGTTGTCACAGTATTTCTATTTCTTCTTACTCTGAATGCCTCCTCAGAGGCTGCATGAACTTTCAAGATCCTGCGCACGCCTAGGAGATGGACAGAGCTCCTTCACCTACAGGCTTAATGCCGACCTGATAGGCTCGATCAGAGTGTCCAGAGGCAGCACAGAAGGGCGAGCAGAGCCTCCATCTCCCCGCTGGACTCTTAAGGGGGCCCAAAGACAAGAGCAGGAGGTAGGAACAGTCGCTTCCTACTTGTCTCTGGAGCTGTGTTGGAGGCCAGTGTCGATCTTCACATACTGAGGCACACAGCAAGATAATTTCCATGTGTATTACACTCCAAAGAGAAGGTACAGGATGATCTTTCCTCTTGGTCTGCTCATCCTTTTTTTTTCTCCCCTGTCTACAGGGCTTCGCGTAACAAGTCTGAGAAGAAGAGGCGCGATCAGTTCAATGTTCTCATCAAAGAGCTCAGCTCCATGCTTCCAGGCAACACTCGCAAAATGGACAAAACTACTGTGCTGGAAAAAGTCATTGGCTTTCTGCAAAAACACAATGGTAAGATTTACTGCAGCTCTTCATGCACATGTCAGATGGTTACTACAATATCCTGTTTCCTTCAGTGATTATCAGAATGGCTCAAGGGGCCTAAAAGTGCCAACATAAGGGGTTTTTTTTCCTATCTCATCAAAAAAGATCATTTGCAGGCACTGTGCTGCCCAAACCCATCTCCTTGGCTGCTCTTTAGTTGAGGATGACTCTCAACCTGCTAGAGAAGGGAGTGAATGTCAGGAAGCGAGAGGAGGTGGGCAGCAGTGCCCTGCAGCACATGTGAAGAAGAGGGATGCTTTGAACAAGAGAGATTTGGGGCCAGAGGGAAGATTCCCGTCCTTGAAATTTGCAGTATTCTGAGCAGAAGAACAAAGCATTCGCCCCAGCTTCTCTGCAGAAAAATGCAGGGAAGCAATCTGTTCAGCCCCCCTGCTCCTCAGCGAACTGTGCAGGACTCAATTTTCCACAGTGAGCAGAAAACTCAGACCAGAAAAGGCCCCAATTTTTGAAGTCGGTTTCAGCAAATTGCATCCACAGATAGCTGACGTGCTTCACCCGGTTTGCACAAGCAGAAGCTACATCACATTTCCACAGCATGCAGTTGCAATAGTAAAGTTTGGCCTCAGAAAGCCAGGAGTTTATTTTTTAAAATACACACAGCAGTGACAGTTAAGTCCCTTAGACATGTGCCCTCACAGAGGGCAGAGGAGATTTCTGACCCTGCTGATCTAGCCTGGTTGGTCTAGTTCCCAGTCGGGCGAGAGGAGCAAACACTGCAGGCTCCCGGATGCGTGGACGTCTGCCAGCAGCGGATAACTGAAACACTTCTTCCTTATAAATCAGGGCACTGGTTTGAAATGGGGCTCTCTTGCTCTGCCCCTGTGAGGAAGAGGCTTCAGCGGGTGACCGTGAGGAACGTCCCTGGTCCCACAAAGCAGAAAGGGCTCTCACGAGCTGATGCACCACATCACCAGGCTCACCTTCGCTCATCCAGCACCTCCTGTCCTCGCTCCCTGGAGAGCTCTGGGTGAAATGGAAAAGACCATAAAAACTCTTATACCATGACTCCCAACATAATGGAATCACAAATGTCAAACTTATTGAGGAAATAATTATAGTGGTTCTGTTGTTAGCGCGCAGTTTCTCCTTAAATGAATTTTTGCCACAGACAAGATGATTTCATACAGGAGGGCACGACTAGGACATCTCAAAGTTTAATAATCGTACATACCTATTACAAAATGACAGTAATAACTTTTTTTTTTAGCTGCCCATGGCAGAGTAAAGGAGGATGTGAATATACTCAATTATAAAGCAAGCAAAGAACAATCACACGAGATTTGAATAAATGTAGACAAGTGCAGCTGATAGCCCAAATAATTTACTCCAAAAGGCACTTCATTTCTGGAAGAACAACTAGGTAAAAGAAAGCTGACAGTCACAAATCCTTCCACAGCAATTGGGTCAAGCTGTGACTGGTTTTTGTGCGCTTGCTAAAAAAAGCAAATGTTATCTATTTTTAAACTAGATTAGTAGTCACACAATATAATACAAAGCATCAGTGTTTAAAAATGTTGATTATCTTCAGCGTACTTTGGATCTAGTTTATTCAGTTGTATTTCTCTTTCATTTAGTAGGCTAAACCAAGATTTTAGTTATAACAGAGGAGGTCAATTTTCAGATTTTTTTGCTTCATAAACAGTCTCCTTCTTTATAATCCAGAGAATCTCCCAAATCTCAAGTAATTCTTCGAACAGTCTCTTGTTTTGTGTATATCAGTTTTTCCAAGCTAGGGATCCGCTGAAAGTATGCTATATTCTGAGACTGTATAATAAAAATCTAATTGGGGCTGATCTCTCTTTTTCTTTACTCTGTTTTTGAAATCTCTTTATAAGACCATGGGGGCTGTGGAGAGCCACCGTGCTATCAGTGACAGCCCCCAGCAGTGCAGAAAGCGAGTCGAACAAGCTGGTAGAAGCAGACGACTGCATCTCCACTAATAAAGCCTGAACGGAAGCTTTGATTTCTTTCTAGGTGACAATATGCACAGGCACTGGTATAAACTTACTGTCTTTAATATCATTTAGCCATTTGCATTTCTCTAGCCAGTTTGCCTATGTGCTCCGAATAGGGAGTGTTGGGTATTACATGCTCTGGAAGTATTAATCAATAGGATTAATTAGCAGGTGGCAGCGAAACGAGAAGACAGGCTGCGCTCAGCATCCCCTCATTACTAGTGCTGAATGAGGGAGCACTTTCAGACAAGCAGAGCGAGCAGTGAACAAAACCAGCACAAGTCTCTCTAAATTATAAGATCTGACCCCTATAACACTGTCTGACAAGTTTATTAATGCATTACTAGGGTAGAGCTAACATGGGTGGCTGTTTTTTGAAGGGAACAGCTCACCATGGTGCATCCAGTTCCCCCAGGTATGGTCCCCAGTTTCAGTGCGAAGCCAAGACTTGTTACCCCGGTGCGCCTGCACCCCTCCACGGAAACCCTTCGGGGAACGAGTGTCCTCAGGCTGCTGCAGGGCCAGGGCTGGCCAACAGCGAGGAACCCCCCCCCAATATCTCATGGGCTGACAGCACCCGAGGCTCTCCCCTCCGGACAGGATTTGGGACGAGACGCCAGTGTTCCAGTGCAAGGCTGGTGCAAACACTCCTGTTTCGCTTGCATTTTGGAGAAGAGAGCGACGTCTCTGCTGTTTGGGGTCACGGCCCTTTGGGGCTCCTCTGAAGGAGCTTTCTTGCTGCTCCCTATTTGGCACAGAAGCTGTAGGCTTAACCCTAGCTCTCTGGCATCCTGATTTTGAAGCTGTAAATTGTAAATACCAATTTGACACGTGCTAATCCTTGTCTTGATTTTAGTTTAATGCAAAGTGGTTTTATCTTTTGATCAATACCTAAATAAGACTCATTGAGGCCGATAGCTATGTGAATACAGGCTCCCACTGAAGTCAGTTCAAGCTGAGCTGAGTAAAAAATGAGGAAAACATTTCAGGATTGGGCCCAGTTTAGATAGTCGTTATTATCTCTGCGTGCAAAACCCATGCTTGAAAACTGCAATTTTTGAATATAAAGGTGATTTCTATCTTTTCATAGCAACTCATATATAGGCTTGCAAGATACAAGTTTTTTTGAATTTAATAAAATGAAATGTTTTATTTGTCTAGAAGTCTCGGCACAGACGGAGATTTCTGAAATTAAGCAGGACTGGAAGCCTTCATTTCTCAGCAACGAAGAATTCACCCAGCTGATGTTGGAGGTGAGATGCATATATACCTTTCCTAATTTTGTCTAGCAGTCATGGAAATGCCCATGCGTCTAGAATTAAATGTCGTCTACAATTCCAAAAGAGGAGGTTTCAGGTACTGCTGTATTTGACCGTCAAGCAGAGCTGTCACTGGGACAAAGGATCAGAGTCCCCACATGTTGCTTTTCACTCTCAACGGTGCCGTTGCGCGCGCTGCCGCAGCCTGCAAAGCTGCGCAGGGACTCCCAAGAAATGCAATCCAGGGGAGAAACTCAAATTACAGGTTACATTTTATTTTTACAAACAGAGGTGAGGAAAAGGGCACGCAGCAGTTTTTATCCTGTTCTTGGAAGGCATTATTATTGGCTAGTATTTATGCAAGACTAGCACCTAAAAAGCAACCGTGTCGCATCCCTCTAGTGCTAGGTGCTGTACAAGCAGATAAAACCTGACAGCTCCTCTTGGTTTGATACAGTTAATATTTCCACTCTAAGGATTTTCAAGGCCCTTATCAAACACTTTTTATTCTAACAGGGAGCAGGGTTATTTTGCAATGATAGTTTTAAAATTACCTTTAAATTATACCATAGGTGCTTTTAACGCTAGCTGGGATTTGAAGGGAGGTGACTCAACGGTGTTTATGTAGGTTCGACATGAAATGCAAATAAGCTGCTAAAACGTATTTTTCTCTCTCAGTAACAGCTCGAACCTTCTTTAGCAAGGATCTTCACCCGTACAAAACACATAGAGGTTGCATTGCCCCGCAGCATCCTTTGAGAACAAGCTTCTCCCCCTCCCACAAATGATGTGAACATGGGGTGTGATCCAGGCTCTGGCAGCAGGCAGGGAGGGATGCTGGGGAGCAGCTTGACCCTCCAAGGGGTGGCACAAAGCCGGGGCACATTGCTGGCCCCCAGGGGCTGGCAGTCCCTCAGCCATTGCAGTTCGTTGTGATGAGACACTCCTGGTCCAGTGTTAGGAGACGCTTTGCTCCCGTTGCACTGACAACCGCCCATTCCCATCTCTGTGCGCAGGAACTTAACGTACATAACTCCTTCAGTCTGCACTGAAATATTGCCCTCAGATAGCAATAAATTGGCAGTTGTCTTGACTGGCTGGGCCTTTGTTGATTCTACTTGTATGCCACGAAATTTTAGATTAAAACAATTGCTTTTGGTTTCCCAGCTTATAAATCACCTTCTTGCTACTGTGATTTTCCATGCCCTTCAAGATAACATTGGGTATTGGGATGTCCTGTTGAGCCAGCTGTTCATCATTCTCTTCTTTTTTGTCTTTCTACTAATCTTATTTTATTAACATTTGGACAAGACTGCTTGAAGTTTTTCCCGTCCTGTTATTAAAAGATGGGAAGGGTTTTTTCAAGCACTGATTCAAAAGAAACAGAGCATAATTGACTGCGGTAATACATCAGCTTTCCTGAAAATGGCCTTTTCTTATCCCATTGAAAAGGCTGTCATCAAATTACATAGGAGTGTGTATTAGGCTCTGTTTGCCCATCTAGGACTGTTGCAGTAGTGAAATCTTTGAAGAGGGATATGCCCTCTTAATGTTGGAAGGACCAGATGCGAGTAAATAAAAATAGAATTATGTATGCATACATTAACTTGATTTTACCACAAAATTCTGATGTGAGTCACTTTGTATAATTTGCATTGGATATGAAATAAAGACTTGATTTAAAAAAAAGGAAAAACCAACAACCTTCACCATAGTAACATGCACAATCCAGCTGCCTTGTAAAACCACTGCTCTCTTCTATGGTTAACAGCTATTTTAGAAAACAGCTTGAATGTACTACACTAAAGAAAAACATATTCTCTGCACTTAGATTAACAAAATCAAACTAACTATAGCAGCTGAAGGGTTTTCAGAGATGCTAAACACACGCTCTTCTACTGGGGTATAAGTTATTGACCTGCTTTTCAAAGGATTGTAGCACCAGCAGATTCCCATTGACTTAAATAGTTGTGGGTGCTCAGCATTCTCTGGAAAAAGGAACATATGTTTGTGTCTTTATTCAAGGCTTTGTGTTTTCTTTTTTTTTTTTTTGAAAAACAATTAGCATTTTCCAGTGTTCTCAGAATTCTTTCCCTTATTGAAGTCAGCAGGGGGGAAGGATGTGCTGCAGCTCACAGGATCAACTGCTAGTCTGGCTCAGAGGCATGCCTGGGTTTGCAGCAAGGTTTTGTAACGCCGTGTCACCGTGCTCAGGCTGTTTGCAGTACACCTGTCTCCTGACCAGGTATTGCCTCTGGAGTATAGTTGAACTCAGCTCTGATTCAGTCATGCTTGCAGTGCCCGTACTGCTCAAACACTGCAGGCAACACCGACTCCAGATCACCAGCGAACTGACAGGAAGGACGCAGACCTGCTCCGCTTGAAGGCATTGGGAGCTTCACCGGTGACTCCTTAATTACAATGGGAAGGTTTCAATATAGTCTCCGAGCACCTACTATTGACTCTTAATCTTTGGGAGGGTTCTGCTCAGAGTAGGTTGCTTTAGGTCTGGAAATCTACCTAGATTTAACTTTGAACAAGATTTAGCTCAAAACTTTGCAGCTCAGACTAAAGAAGAAACTAATTTTGAAGGTGAAGTTGCTCCTGTGCAGAGGATGGGGATAAGGCTGACATTCCTCTTCAGTCCTAGGAGTGAAGGGGCTTACCGCAAGGTGGGACCGAAGTGAGGAAGAAACTCTGCAGAAGGATGAATTTCTCTTGGAATGAGTAATCCAATACCATGACCTTTAAAATAAATCACTCAATTAAAACTCAGGCTAAGGATTATTTGATCATTTGCATCGCTTTTACTTACATGAAAGCCCAGTAATATACAACGTTACATTAATACAAACTGAGATTTATGGGGTTTGCAGAGAAGTACCATTTTGAGATAGGACCGCATCCTTTCATCGTCCTTTGATATTTACACAGAGCTCAAATGTTCATTTTAATAGCTTCCAAGGGATCCAGTCTTAGTCATTTTGCATTATTAAAATGTGTGATTAATTTAAAAACTGAGACATGAAATGTTCCTGTGAGCCCTTTGTTGCTTCAATAGTAGGTTTTACTAGACTACAAAGAGTGTTGTAAAAGTTAAATCAGACTGTAAAATCAGAGAATTACTGTTCTGCAACTTGAGATAACGTTCCTACAACTCGATAACAATATGGTGCTGAAGTCAAACTGTTTTGATCAACATGCGATGAGACGCCCTGTTTACACCCCTCATTCTTATTAAAGCACTCTCCACTCGTCTGTTTTTCTTAGGCGTTAGATGGCTTCATTATAGCAGTAACCACGGGTGGAAGCATCATCTACGTGTCTGACAGCATCACACCTCTTCTAGGGCATTTACCGGTGAGTAATTCTGCCATCGGCTTTTCTACTACACATCGTAGGATTGTGCCCTGCTTTTTTAGAAACAGATGTAAAAGGTGGGGTGGTGTTTTCCTGAAAACGCGGTTATGCTGGCCGCTGCTGTTGATCAGCTCTGTTCTCTCTCCTTCTGATTCATACCCTTCAGGTTTTTGTTGCTATGAGGCCCTTCGGCTTGAATGGAAAAAGCTCTGCGGGAATACTCTGGCCAGGGGAGGGACAGGGTGCCCTGGCTATCTTTCCATCTCAGATTTCTAAGCTAGCAGAGAATAGTACCAGTGCTGCTGGCAGCCGGTGAGGAGCTTGTTAAGGGCCTTATTCTGCTTCCAGGGAGGTAAAGGACAAAAACCCCATTGAATTCAGAATTAGCCGGGGGCTGCTGCCGAGCTGTCCCCACAGCTCTGTGCTTTCCTAAGGGGAGTGCACCCCGCTCCCGGGAGGTGCTGGTGGAGTCGATGCTCGGCGCTCGGGTCCGGCACATACAGCTTGTTTTATCTGCGGGCTGCTGGGTCTTGCTGTGGGAGACGCTCCTGCGTGTGCTGGCTTGGGCTGCTCCAAAGAAAAGGACTGCTCCAAACCCTGCTCCTGTTGCTAAGGCTGCTCTAGGAGAAGAAATGGCACAATAATTAAGGATTAATCCTCACACTCATTTTTAGTAGCTTGGTCTCAAATAAATACATGCCCAGGAGAAAAAAAAGGCTGCCAAATCATTATTGTACCACCCCCCTGCCATGTTCTCAGGAAAATTACAATTCTTTTTCTCTCGTTTACTTATTCATCAAATACGTGTTATGTTTTCCACCCAGACAAATGTATTTCACACACACTACCTTGCTGTAATATGAACAAAAATTTTTTTCTTCTTTCACTTGATGAAAGGTGGCACCTCCTGGTATATGCAAGAATATTGCTATGCAACAACAGATTGAACTGAATCTATTTCAGTTTTCTTTAATCCTCAACAGTTGAGAAAACCAGTAGTTGACTATTTTCTGACATTTGCCTTCACTTCAAAGGCAGAGAGCGCCCTGTCCTGCATGTAGGCTGTTGAGTCTTCATACCCTTATTGATTTCCATGGCATTTCCTTGTCTTTCATGGTTTGGGGGTCTCATTGCTATCCTTTCCAAATACTGATTCTTAGTGGAGACGGTACATCTACTGCTGGAAAGTATTGCTCTTCAGGAAGACACATTTCAGACCCTGTGCCTAAAACCTTAAGCCCTGGCTCAACATGGATGGATTCAAGTTCATAATTCCTGAGTTAGGCCATCAGAGACTAAATCAGTTTTCCCTCCCGAAGTCATCATGCCTTGTGTAATAATCTTGCACAGTATCCAGCCCACAATGAGGCAAAGATGGCATTATTTTTTATTCACACAGAAGCAGCACATAGCAGCCAGGGACAACCAGGTCTGGAGGTGGAGCAGGAGTTCCCACAGACCTTCTCAGAGCTGATGGGGTGATAATGGTTAACAACTGCCCCACCAGCCCAGGCAGGCGGGGTGACTGGGTGCATCCCAGAGACTGCACCTGAGCAAGCAGTAAAGGCTTCTGCCTGCCCGAGGTCGACCCTGGGCAGGGGCCCAGCTGAACGTGCAGTTAGGTGCACACTGGGCATTTTAGTCCCATGCTGCCCTTTCCATATGGCTTTTTAAGTTTTAAAACTGATCAGAGTGCTATCTGGACAATCTATGTGGCTTATTTTGTTTACCTCCAGGATCTAATTGTCAGCTAAATTCAGTCACTGTTTGAGGGACAAAATACCAATTCTTTCTCCTCTGTGACTGCAGGGAAAAAAATACTCTGCAAATCTTCTGCTTTGAGCACTGAAAGGGAAGCAAAACTGGGCAGAATGCAGGCAGGGCTCTCTGAGGGCCCCTATCAAGAAATCTGATGTATTTTCTTTCATTAAAATCATGAAAGACTCTGTGCTGAGAACAAGTATATCCAATTCTCTTTAATACAGCTTCCCTAAGTTCCATGGAGCATTTTCAAACACAAACTTCCTCTGTTGTAATTTTAAATAGTTTGTTATTACAACGTCTGGAGGCTACTTCTAGGGTCGGTTGATGTAAAGAGAGGTTTATCTCACATGGTAAGATTGACTATAGTTGAAGCGAACTCCTGTAAATCTGGTCACAACATAGCATTTGCCAGTCAGATGGTACGCTACAACCCCAAGACTATGCAGGTCTCTGGGGGAGGGTCCTCCCTGTCCTTTCTTGCCTGCTTTGCTGAGTGAAACAGTTAAACACAGGTGGCAGAGTGACTATTTCCAACGTCCAGGAGGAGACACAGGTTTCTCATGGACGTTGCCTGTCCACGGACTCAGGCAGAAGGTGCTGCACCTGCTCATGGACTGGGAGAGTGGTGTCCAGCTGTCCTGGTTTCGGCTGGGATAGAGTTAATTTTCTTCCTAGTAGCTGGTATTGTGCTGTGTTTTGGATTTAAACCACAACACCATCTCACCCAGCTTTAGTCCTGTAGCTGAGGGGTCTGTGCTCGGTGCCTGCCCGTGCGAGGCTCCTTGAGGGTCAGCGGAGAGGCGGCTGTGCAAAGGGAGGAGGTCTCTGGCAGGGCTGAGCTTCTCCTGGGGGGGGTCTTTCTCCCCGGGGACTCCCAGATGAAGCTCAGGCAGCTGCTCTGCTGTGTTGGGTGCTTTAGGTAAATGTCAGGGGGGAAAATCCAACACGTAGCACCTTACAGCGTACAAAAGTTTTGCATGCTTTGTTGCTATAACAGGGTAGCAATGGGCATCACTGCAGGATGTACAGATTGATATAGGGGCCAAATCCCAGCACACAAGAGCAGAGCTACCTTGATTTTTTTTGGTTACTGGGAAAGAAGCCTGTCTCATTTGCAGCCCTCTACCTTCCCATTCCTGACCATGTTCCTCAGTTCCCCTGCTTTTTTTCTCTTTTTTTGAATAACTCATCATATTTCCTCCTCACCCCCAAAAAAGCAATGAAAAGGTGAGGAAGGACCTCCATTTTGGAGTATAGCTGTCTTGTTGAAACTGCACAGATATTTAAGCTATACATCAAATGATTGCAGAACTTGGGGTGGATTTACTGTGCATTGTTTTTAGAATGGACCAGCATCCATGTATGCAAAACTGTTCTTTCTTTGTCTGCCATAGCTATCAGGGGTAAATACTCAGAGACTTCTGTTAGCGGGATTCACAGATTCCAAGGTGCAGAGTAGATTCCAAGATCAGCAGCATAAATATGCCTTAATGTAGTTCATCTAACCACTCTACCCACAGTCACTGTAATTTATTTTTTATCCGCTTTGCCTGTTTCATTCAGCAATGCTTTGTGGCTGTGTCTGCCAGCGGGGCAGAACTGCCCACTGCAGAATAATTAGAATAATCAGAAAAAGCTGCAAACCGTTCCCCTCCAGCCGATACATTATTGTCTGTGGTGATCAAATTTTGTCCATCTCTCTGGTCACCTTTTTCCCATGGCACCAGATGTCTGCTCTTTGGGTCTGGTGCAGAATTAGCTCTGAATAGCTTGCCTGGCATTTCCTACAGCTCCAGTGAGACGGTTGAATATTTGCTTCGTTCCGCCTATTTGACCTGTCCATATATTTTGATTGACATATTGATTCAAGAACATTACTGGAGTCTTGATATGTACAAGATCCAGAAATTCTGTTCCGTGTGCTGCTACAGATGTGCCTAACCTCTGCAGGAGGCAAGAGTTATGAAACACAGTAAGAAGTAGATATCTTATCATTTTTTTCTTACTCATTTAAAAAAAATTGGCATTCCATAACAGAAAAGATGCAAACCAAACATTAAATTCTGGATATGGTACATGATGGCGGCAAGAAGTATAAATGCCAGGACTTGCAAATCAATGAATAGCTGGTGCTCATGGCACGAGGTTGCTCTGAGGGGTATGTGGGACAGAAGACTTGCAACTCCTACCATACGCATAGTGGCAGGCCTCTGCAGCTATCCCCTTAAATGGAAACGACACTGCAAAACTGATAATAGGTTTTGAATCAGAGCTTGGTCACAATATGGAGACAAAAGGTGGTACATCCTCAGGTCACTGAAGAAGCAATAATGTGTTTGAGGAGTGGTGACAGCTCACATCTAGTCCTCCTGCAGCTACTGCTGAGTGGATGGGAGATTAATTAACCCCCATGAGACTTATGTGAAACTGGTGGATACAGGTAGAAAAGGAATGAGAGGGAAAAATTACTTTTCTGAGATTGTACCATAAGCCTTGAACAGAAACTGCACCACTGCGGTTTCCCGTCAGGTGCTCTTTCTTCATACGCCCAAAATTCCATGAACAATGTACTATATTTTGTGTAAATATAAATATAATGTTTATAGACATAGATATAAAAACTGAATTACACGCAGTATCAGTAGGATGCATATTAATAAGGTATATACTAAAGTCACAAAAATAATTTTCAAGTATTTGTCACAAAAGGAATATTCAAGTAATGAGCACATGTAATACTTATAATTGAATAATCTAAAGTAATATATTATCGCATCAAGATAAGTGTATAAAGCGTTGCACTCTGATTTTCAAAGTATACTCGATGCATTTCACTACTCTAAACAGGAATTCCGCACAGAACAGCAGGCATGGGTGGAAAGCAGAGGGAAACCAAAGCGTAATCTTAAGTAAATCTATAAATAAATGATGATTAATAACTTGCCAGTCTCATACAGGGCTAACACATTTTCAACACGACTATACAGTCTGATAGCAGCTGCTCTGACGACACACGAAGCTGTGTCAGCATGCCAGCTCAGCCCAAGGTAGTCTCAAGTAGGATGGATGTAAGTCAATGCCATCAGAGGGTCACTTTATCTCAGGACTTCCTCTCAGAAACGCTCTTCTAGCGTTGGGTTAGTCACCACGCTGCACACAGTGAGACCTTCCTCTTGGTAACCCTGTGACAGACTCTTGTCTTCTCCACCCTGGCCCAGTCAGGGTGTTTTGCACAAATCCATCTCCTCTTTCTATTCCCAAATCTCATTACCTAGATTTCGGATGGATTTCAGGTTCATGCCAGCTGACCGTGGGGCTGGAGACACCCGGGCATTCAGCCCATGGCTGGCCAGAGGGCTTCTGCCGGTGGCACCTTGAAGTCTCCCTCCCTGGGGACTAACTGCTGCTGCTGCAAAGCGATGTCCAGACTGGGAAGTCCCCTTCTCCCCGCTCCCACCTGCCAGGATGCAGGAAGGGGGAAGCAATGGCTGCCGCCCCGAAGGCACTTCCCAGGAGCCGAGGGGGTCCCTCCAGGGAGGGGCTGGATCCAGGATTGACCCAGCTCTTGGGTCCGGTGGCTCAGGGTGACTCCCAGCCCCGCTGCTCCCGCTAGTCGGGGTTTGCCGAGGAGAGAGCAAGCTGCAGTGATCCACAACAGCCCCGTGCATGGAGCTGGCGAGCAGTATGGGGAACGAGGTGCCCATTTTCCAGCTCACTCCAAGGTCCCATCATTTAATTGTACGAACATACCCGATACATCTGATGGTCTCTGAGAAACATGAGAGGAGCATCGCTGAGTGCTGAGAATTAAGCTGAGAACTGGCTCATGGAGAAGTGGCCATTCAGTTTGCCCAGCAGTTCCCCCTGGTTTAGGCTTTGTCAGGAGTCCCTGGAAATTAACGGGAAAACTCCTGTCGACTGCCACAGCCTTTGTATCTGCATTGCTGCTCATCTCTGCAAGCGTTGCTCGTCATGGTATTTTTATTTTTCTCAAAGGTTCTTTTTCTTTGCAGTGTGATGTCTTGGATCAGAATTTGTTAAATTTCCTCCCAGAACAAGAACATTCAGAAATTTATAAGATGTTATCTTCTTGTATGCTTATGACGGATTCTGCCTCATCGGATTACCTAAAAAGTAAGTTTTATTTTATCTTTCCCAGTAAACGAAAAAGCACGGGCAGGATAAAAATTTTCTCTCATAAAGAGTTTTTTATGTGATGTGCAATATGAAACTTAGGTTCATAGCCTTTTAAAAAGATCTTGCCACCTGGAATGACCCTTTGGTACTATTTTTAAATGAAACTCATTGCCTTTATTTTACTAGGCTAAGACCAGTTGCAGTTATGTTAATTATTAAATATCGTATCTTTTGAGACAGCAAAGGAAAATAGGTTAGCCGATGGAAACTGAGAGTTCGCCTGAGACAAATCACATCTTAATTGATATTTCAGCCTGTTCAAGTAAGATGCTGTTCAGAGATGTGTTAATGTCACACATCTTTGGTTTGCATTATGGTTGAAAAGTATCTGTAAAATCATTGTAATTCTTTTTCAAATTGAATTTTGTTTTTCGTAAAAACCTTTTACTTGCCTCACGCTTACTCACTCAGGAGGTAAGGCATAGGAAACCAGAAAACACACGATAATGTAAGACGTACAGCTGCTTAATCTACGTATATATACAAAACCTGCAGCTGATAGCTAATATGCCAAAGTTAATTTAACAGATATTTTGAGGTAATTAGGCATAGTTTTCCAACACAAGATGTAGAACAGCTGTGAGTCATGAAAAGCCTAAATAGAAAAAAAAACCCTATAAAGGAAGGATGCAATTCTCTCCTTCGCTACACCGATGTTATGGCAGCGTAACTGCTGTGATGAAGGTGGTGTAAGAGACGGGCGAGTTAGTCTCGAAGGCTATCCCTGAGCTGCAGGCAGACCTGCGCACAGCACTGAACCACCTGCACCCCTGCAAGGCGCTTCCTTGCAGAGGCTCTGATCCTGCAAGGTATAGCACATCGGTGTATAGGACTCCAAGTGGTAACAAGCTGCTCTCGTGCTGCCAGTTGCAAGATTGGGGTTGGAAGACACCGTTGGTTGTGTTTAGCTTAAATAGTATATTTATTTCTTCTTCTTCTTCTTTTCACAATCCAGCTGACAATGAACTAGAGTTTTATTGTCATCTTCTGAGAGGAAGTTTGAACCCAAAGGAATTCCCAACATATGAATACATAAAATTTGTAGGAAATTTTCGGTCTTACAGCAATGGTAAGCTTTAATTGTTGTATAAATGTTACTTTAGCTGTGTAAAATAAAATGTAAGTGTTGCTCCATTGAACAAGACAGGCTCTTAACTGAAAGGACTATTTTTAACATTATGGGGTAAATTTTGCTTCACATGGATCTCACAGCTGATTTGCAAAAGCTGGATGAATACCTATGAAGAGTGAGATTGTGTTAGTTGCTTTTGTTACTGCCCTTCACTTGTTAGCAGTGATCCTGGACTCTGGGTAAGTTTGCAAATAATGGCAGGTTCAGAGGAGGGCTTGTTTGTGCTCACTAATACTGTGTGCTAAGACTGTACCTATTAGCTGAATAATAAACTTGCTACCTTATCTGCTGGCTTACATTAAACACAAATTCTGTGCCAGAACTGATAATCTGCCAAACCTGCCCTCTCACCGTTCTCCGGAAAATTTTGGGGAAAGGCGGCAGCGCCACGTACTTGAGTGCCTGCACCCACCGCCCCATGCTGCAGTGAGGGGTCCCCTGCTGCTGCCATCGGAGTGGCTGAGGACACTTCCACCCGCCTCCCCCTCCAGCTGCCATTTTACATTCCTCTCCAGCACTGCAGAACCCAATACTCTCAAAAAAAAAAAAAGGAAAGAAATACAGTCAGCATAGTCGCTCACGCACCGCAGTCAGTCTAGGGAAACCATCTTTCAAGGGACGAAGAGCAGATTTCCACATCGCCCATTCCCTAACAAACAGATTGCTGCTCGGCCATTAGTGTCAGAAACGAAATAATACTCTTTTATTACTTTCCCTTCTCCTGCCTGCCCAAGTTTGCTTTAGTTATTTGCCTGATTGAACTCCAGAGTGGCATTTCCAAAGTTGCTGGTATTGTTCCAAATAGGTCATCCTCAGCAAAAAATTCCCCACCGTGCTTTCCAAAAACCACACGCCACACTGTGAAAAAAAATGTCCCTGTCCCCGTTTAACTTTCTGCTCTTGCTCCACATGACTAGAATAGAAACCTACGTGCAGGATGGAGATATGTATTTCTTGTTCGGTGCCATCTGATTTGAGGCTTTATTTGTATAAAAAAATGTAACTGCCTGTATGCTTTCTAGTTTGAATGAAGCGAAATGCGGCTGCCTGACAGACGCACGCACCAAGCTGTTCTGTTTTCTAGAGCAGAAACCGGATTTCAGGTGCTGACTCATAAGGATACATTTCTACCAGGGGAATTTCTGATCCATTTTCTTCAAGGATTTTCAGCCTTTTATTTTGGCGTGACCTTAATACTGCCCTCTTACCCATTAGGGTTTCATATCCCAGCATTTGTATCAGTGGCTATTTCTCAGAAGAAAGATAAAACTTGTATTACAGATATCTTCCCTAGCTTAATGCATATAAACTAAATGGGAACATATTGATTTCAGAAGACACCAGATTGTCTTCTAAAGACCCCAGCTTATAGCTTTCAAATAGGACATGTGCTTTCTACTTTAATATTTTTATTATTTTTTTCTTTGTGCCACCTTTCTCTAAATCTTCCACTTTATTTTGTCTCTTCCAATTTCTTCCTGTCTCTGCTGCAGTCTGACCCTCCGGTGGATAGGGCTTGCCCTCGCTCTGTGAGATGGTGCCTCCTGGCCCCCTTCCCCTCTCCCCATCGCAGGACAGCAGCTTGCCCATCTTGACTAGTTTCCCCGGTTCAGTGCAGAGCCTGGTGGAAATACTTGCTTCACCAGTGCAAGACACAAGCGTCCCCAGCACTGCTCCCCCTTGGCTGGGGGTCACCCCCATGGCACCCTCTGCTCGCCCCCTCTCCCCCCACCAGCCTGGCTCCTAATCCAGCCACAAAACCACCTCCCAGAAAAGGTGGAAGAAAGTGCACTGGACTCGCGATGTAGCAG